AGGATGATGGGAATGGGCTGTTGAGAGAAAAACGACAAATATGTCTTCACCTAAATTCCGTCTAAAATTATGTATATTACCACACATTCAAATACTTGAAAAATGGCAGCCAACTTTATGGTTTTATGTCTTTAGTTTCTTCTGGACCCACATTTTCATGGCTCTCCCTAGAATTAATCATATCCATTTTGTCTTTGATGGACATTTTTGTCTTTTATGGGCAAAATATTTCACTGAAATGTAAACTTCATTTACAGAAGTTTTTTTCTGATACAGACTTTGCACTGCCTGCATGCCTCTGGGTAGCAAGCAATCTCCTGAGACTCATCACATCTAACTTTCAACCATCTAAAACTTAGGTGTCCAGTCCAAATGAGTTGTCCAGGCTCCCTGTCCAGTCAGTGGAGAGAGACAGATGTCTCCAGATGGCTCACATTATAATGTAGGTGGGTAGGAAAGGTGAAATGAGACACCTTTCAGCAGCACCTACATCTTGACTGACTAAGGAGGGAGCCTGGGCAGCTGCCCTAGGGGAGGCAATTCTAATTCTAACCTCCTTCTGGACAAGCAGAGCTGGTGAGATGAATCCCACCCAGTGGGAATTCAGTATGAGAGGAGAAAGCAATCATTTTGCACCAGGTCAGGGGACCAGACTTCTCACAGGACACACAACGTTTGTGCATCATTATTACCTACTGAGCAAAAGCAATGAGATTTGTTGGTGTTCCTATAAAAGGAAGAAAAACTACTGCATATGCTCATGAGCACACCCAAAAACAATGCATCAAAGGCAGGTTTTCCCAAAAGGTCATTGCAAATTTAGAATGCGAGTCCAACTCAAAGGGTCTTCCAGTAGGATCTGCTGTCTAGCTTACTTTTGAAAGAATTCCTTCCTAAACTATCATGCACAATTGCCAGCACATGAGACATTTAGTAAAGGATGTTGCCCAGGACAAGCTACAGAAATCCAAGACCATGTTTCTGAGTAAAGCAGGCATCAGCGATCAAGCACAGCCCTTGCTTGTATTTAGCTGCTATTAGTTTGCCTGCATGACTGACTCTCACCTGCCAACTTCTAGGTGAGTCCAGCGCTGTTTCCAACCCCCATGCCAAGCCCTGGACAAGCACAATGTGAAGAGAAAAGCAAGTATGTAAGCGGAGCGGTGACTGGTCAGGTGTAACTGTGGAGGGTTTGTATGAGATTCTGAAGTGCTAATACAACTGGGATTACTGCTTCCAGCTGGTGTGTTGCAGCCCCAGGAGAGCTAAGAAAGGCAACCTCTCTGCTCTGATCTGCATGTCCTCTCGAGTCAAGTGGTCTCTGTTAACCTGCAGAGGGTGCAACTCTTCAGATTGTTCTTATAGAAAACAGGAATGGGTTCCAGCGCTTTTTCTTTCAACTAGCCCTGTCAATCCAAAAAGGTATGACTGTACTCTTCTAGATGGTCCTCTGCATTTAGATGTAAGCTGTTTAGTGACCATATAAGGGAGTGAATAATCTCTGCCAGTATTTAATGATAAAATTGTTGCAGCATGCTAATCAAACTAAGTTTTCCCTTTGGAGGAACATTTCTATGAGGTACAAAAAGCAGTTCATGACAGCCGCACAGAGCTAGGGCAGGTAATAATGAGATTTTGTTGCAAGTTTTCTTCTTACCAGTCTTGCTGTGGTGGAAAATACTACATAACGTGTATGAGGGAGCTGGTGAGTGGGGAAAAAAGGCCATGCTTTTCTAGACCTAGCTTTGGAAAGGCTGCAAGGAGTCAATGGAATTCAGTATGCAAGCAGTCAAGCTAAAAGGGCAGGGAGCCAGCTTTATCAGTTTTGGCTGCTAAGCACTTAGTAAAAGCTCTCCCTAGAAATGAACACAGAGCATTTATTTCTTTCTTTTTAAGGGAAGAGTCCTTTCTCTAGAAGAATCATTTCCTGTTCCTCAAACATATGCATGACACGCAGGGCAGTGCCACGGTCAGGAGCTCCAAACCTTTCTACCATGTCTGACCTGGGATGCTGATGGAGAAAGGAGCAACTGATTATAACTGCAGCTAGACTCATTTTCCTGTGCGCTCAACCCCCACAAAATACCATGGAAAGCACTGAAGTAGTGATTTCTGCCGAGTTTTGAATGCTGTTGATATCTTGCTAAAGTTTATAATGGATGGGAGGAGGTGAGGCCATGTTATCAGTGCAATTTGCACACCAGGCTTGCCTGTGCTTGGGGCTGCAGGGCTAACACAATGGGAGGGCTGGCATGAGAGAAGGCAGATGTTACATTCTTTTTTTATTAGATGAATAAGTGTTTCTTGTTAAAAGCAAAGAGAATACTTGAAAACCCCACTCTGAGGATAGTTCATAGCAAGAAAGAAGCCAGTTGGTGGGAGAGTTGCTACATGCTGAGCACCTTTGAAAATCAGGCCATGTATTAAGAAGTTTAAATATAGATCTAGGAGCCTAACTTTCAGCAAGTGTATTTAAAAAAAAACCAACAAAAAAACTTCGCTCGCTT